CATCACTGCGGCTTTTTTGTCTCGTTCTCTGCAACGTTTAAAAATGATCCGCTGACAATAAGTGACAGGTTTCCTGACAGACACGTTTTTAATGAATGACCCTCAGGGACAAACACACTGCATACACCTGAAACTGTTCCACAATAAAAGAGATTCCCAGTTGGGCATTTTTAAAGTGATCCTGCGTCAGAAGGAAACATCCAGTTTGCATTAGCAGTAACATAATGCAGCTGTTTTAGGAGAGTGAACAGTAAACAGTGAAAACTATATAAATGAGATTAAATCACAAAGCGTAATAATGGAGAACATACATGCATTGTTTCCTGTGTATCCTTTGTGTGTGGTTAAATCCAATGAGGGAACACTGGACCCTGCCAATAAGTAGATTGTAGTGGCATTACTGAATGTATATACACTAAATGCCTTTATAGAAAAACTAAACTCCAAAAAGAACATTACAAGCTAAATGTTTCACAGGAAAGTTGTACTCTCCTGTTTTAAAACAAGTTTGTCTATTTGAAAGTGCCCAAAGTTTATTTCAAAGTATTTTCAAGCTGCTCGCGGATGAAGTCGAGCAGAATAATGCTGTTAAATTGGCATCATTTACAGCTGATGCATCGATGCAATGAATGAATCATTGCGCCCCTTGTAAACATCACTTAATCCAAAATAACAAAAACCGGGACACTGGCTAGAAATGCTTTGGTACATTCTGTTAAATATTTTATTTGTTTTCATTCTGCCATCTTTAATTTGTTTGATTCTGCTTCTTTTGGCATCCAGTGGATCCTCCAACGATGACTTTCAAGTGCGTTCAAGAGCGTTCTCGTTAATTTGGCTCTAACAAGGACAGACGGACACGACAGACTGTACATGCTCCATGCGGAAAAAAATAGAAGCCAATAAGTTACTTTTGCTAGGTTTATTGCTCAGGTGCTGATTGAACAGGCTTAACTATAGTTGCCTCTGCTTGATGTAGTTTCTCTTTACAGGGTTTTATATTATTGATTATAATCAATAAGCGCCAAACAATATTTTTTTTCCTCTGGCCTTTTCTTGATTAAGCTCTAAAACAGCAGCTGACATGATCGAAGCCTCGGGTACATTAACAGGAGCAACTGATCTCATTCTCATTCTGATCTGTGTTAGATGAAGGAATCGGCTGAATGATTACAGTAATGCATTTTCGAGCTACCGCTGTTCCTGTTTACTCAGCTAAACTGTGCTGAGACAAACATTGGAAAGGAATCAGATAAAGCGCCGGTTTCAGTGGGGGCACTGAGGGATTAGCCGACTTTAGCTAACTCTATCATGGAGCAAAGTCTTTGTTCAAAATGCCAAAACGTTGCTTGTTGCATGTGTGTGGGATCAAGGAGTGCACATTATCCTTGCATAAAGATCCAACGTTTGGCAGCATAAGCCTTCACCATTAAAAGAAAAACTTAGGTTGCGTGCATCGTTCTCTGTAAGAATTATAAATGATCCTATTAAGACCTGAGAATAAAAATGCACACAAAAACCTGAGCATTGTTTAAAACCCGAGGAGCTAACAGAATTGAATAAAAAAACTTAAATATGTGCTCTCCATTATAAATCATTGCCTTTTCCCTGAAGTTCATGGACATAAAGAAAGAAACTAATAAAGCCAGCAAAATCGCAGAGATCATTTTTTTTTCATCAATTAAACACTGCTGTCCTTTGCGGTTCAACTTCTTTGTGAGCTTAGAGCACTGAAAATACATTCCCCATAATGCATTTTGTCTTTCCAATGAGTATTTCAGTGAATCACAATGTATTTTATCCACCATGTGTCTTAAAAAAGATGACATCATATGAAATTCTAAAGGCACAGAGGCTTAAACAGGAAGAGAAAGTGCCACAGGAAGCAATTGTTTTATTCACATCCTCGCTCACACATTCGCAAACGTGTGACCATATAAGAGAGAAGCACGCAAAAATCGCATCCGGTCCCGATTCATTTATAGAAACTACCATTATTTAATGCATATTGTATTATCTTCACTTCCACATATGTGAATGTAACGTAACAAGCTCTCACACCAGTTACTCAACACCATAAAGCAATAATCACCTATGTTCCCATTTTCTCCTATGCAGCTGCTGCACCATTTATCTCCTCTTAACATCTTCTGATAGGTCATTAAACGGGTCTTGGATGTGCGAAGTAAAGCACTGAATCATGTCGCAGGTTCCATCTGCTGGCATGTCTAATCTGGGGCAGAGGGGTCCAAGTACATATGGCTGCCACATAAAGTTTTATACAATAATTGGCACTGACGCAGCCACGAGGAGGATTCGGTGAAAATGAATTGATGTCTAATGCAGGCTGATACTATAACAGGATACAGTGAGAGCCCAGCAAAGACTGGGGAAAAAAAGAAAAAAAAGAAAGACCTGCTGCAAATCTAAAAATGTCTCTTGTTTTTCTCCTGGTTCCAATGTTTGCTCCAGATTTCAGAAATAACAGCAACGTGTACTTCTTACACAGCAATGGAGGAGTGGAAACTGAGTCAGCATGTACTCGTATGGGATGTGAGCCTTGTCTCGCCAGATGAGAACTTGGAATTGCAAAAGGTTTTTGCAAATTTGCCAATGAAAGGGTTCATCGAACATGTGGTGGGAAAACATTGCTCTGTGATATATTTACGATTAGAAAGTAAATAATCTAAGAAGTCCTTCACTCATTCCGACACTTCACGTTCTCTTCTTTCTGCTCTTTGGCAGTTTCCTGTCTCTAAACTTCCCTTCCATATTTTGGGAGCTGTAACGATATTTCGATTATTACCTCAGAAATGCTGGCTCCATTATAAAGTTGTAGCATTGCATAACAGTCTGGCGGCAGAAAGGAATGAAACTTAAAAGGCTAATATAAGAGTGCTGAATGGGGCATTAAGGAGCGCTGCAGTGAAGCCGTGCTAAGGCAGACTGACACATCGCTGACTCCGTGTCAGAGAATTCAAGCTAAGTAACCAATCAATTTGAGGGGACCCACCTATTCATGGTGGAATCATTATGCTGCGCCCTTGAGGGCTGCGAGGAAAAAAAAATACTTGGAGGAAAGAAAGCTTTGCATGAAGCTGCTACTGAGCTGCATTGTAGCTTTAATCCACATCACACTGTGCACAAAATAATAGTGGGTTTGTCATAGTGTCCTGAGGAAACCTTTACCTCCAATATGTGCTACTTCAGACAATTCCTCCTGATACGTCTCGACTCCGATTCAGTGTGTTCACATGTTGAAGAACAGACATCCACCAGGAGTATGATTAACAAAAACACTGTATAATAGAATGCATTTGCTAAATGATTCAGGGAGTCGACCACATTAAACTTGCATAATTGCTTCTAATATCATTGTGTGTTTGGGCCTGAATCATCCGGGTTTATTTTCCCCCACAAGTAATTATGCCAGGTTTTTAAAGTGCAGATCTGCAGGATTTCTTGTTGGCAAAGCAACCTTGACAATCTTTCTGAAAAGGGGCCATTGGCCTTAATTTTTATGGGGATAACAATAACAAGGAAACTCCCCCCCTTTCTCTCTTCTTGTTGTATTGTTACTGTTCTGTTTATTATGTGGACAGCAGGGAAATTTACATTTTATTTCCACAAGATGTGTTAATGGGATTTAAATCCACACAATAATCAAACCTAATAAACATGCTTTCAAGTGTGTGAGATATTATTTGCATTTTAATTTTACCTGCACCTGTGATTTTTATTTTGAAAGGATGTCGTATTTACGTCCAGAGGTCAGATCTGGATTAAAAGCTTTCAGGGTAAAAGTGTTGAGACAATGAAACCATCAGTTTGTGCTTGATCTGATGTTGTGTCTGTTGCACATGATGTCACACATTAACTGTAATTACGCTCATTGTTTACACACTTATGGCTGCATTTAATATGGTAAATACTATCAATAATAAGGAAACCACATTCCCCCTTGTCTACTGTGTGGAGAGAGCGTGCCCTTCTCAATGAAAGTGTGCTCGTGTATTTGCACACAGCTCAGCATGTGCATCACGGATATATAGACGACAGTGCATGTTTGATGTGGTGTTGAGAATCTGCCGTATGGAAATAGAAACATGTCTGTATTTGACAGGAGATCATGAAAACCACAGCTTCTGATTAAATTAGCATTAAAATGACAATCCTGCTTTAGTGAACCAACACATCAGAAAAACATCTCCTTGGTTGTGTATGTAAAGCAAACAAATGGATTTACATGTATGAACTACAAAACAATGCATTTGTTTGCAACTCTCTATACTGACTATTTCAGCACATAAAAAATGCGTATGCATCACTTACGCTTTATCCTCTGACTCAGTAACAGTGTTTTCTTTTGCATTTTGCACACCTCAAGAACACCTGGTGTTTTTTAACCACAGGATGCAGTTGTTTGGTTTTTCTTTAATATATATTCTGTAGCCCTCAGAGAAACAGATTTCTGTAACATGATTTTTAGGGGGAATGATTTCTTGATGTGGGTCTCAGTGGGGACAGAGGCAAACATGAACGTCCACACAAATATTTTTGCAGGATCTTTTTTTTAAACGTCTACGCTGTGAAGTGCACCTTTAACTGCAGCCAACAACAACAAGGCTAGTACAAGGTGAAGTTCAGCGGGATCGTTGTTGGTGGATAGAATTCCTTGGTTTTTCGGGGGGTTGTGTCGGAGCAGAATGTGAGGATGGTTGCCTGAAAGACATCACAAATTATAATTAAAAACAGAATTTGATTGAAGCCTAAACAAACACAACAGACCAGACTCATATATTAAAGATGTGCGTGTTGCTGCTGTCAAAAAAAGCAACTTTCATGTTCATTTTCAGATCTAAGAAATCAAAGTCTTTAGTAAATGTTAAAAATACTCCCAAATATTACAATTTAAAGGGTTTTACGATCGTTGTTGATAGCGTATTTGTATCTTCTAGGTAATTTTGTTCTGAGCTTGTGTTTATTCCTGTGATTTTCAGGGAATTTGCACGTTGGAAGGTGAGGAACACAGCGATCGAGAGGAGGGACCTGATCCGGAACCCTGTGCCGCTCATGCCTGAGTTCCAGCGCAGCGTTCGCTTGTTGGGCCGCAGGCCCACCACTCAGCAGTTCATCGACACCATCATTAAGAAATATGGAACCCACATACTCATCTCTGCAACCCTGGGAGGTAAGAGTGGTTCACTGGTTTCATTTGCTCTCTCCCATGCTTGATTAACTCATTGTTTTTAAAAGCTCTCTACATGTGCTTTGTGTGCAAGATACATTTCTTATGCTGCAAATATGACTTGATCTAAAAGTGGTACTAGGTACCAAACTGCTAATTATTGATATGAATAGTTAATTTGAATTGTATTAATTAAACATAATTAATATAAATAATTTAAGATGTTAAATTTTTTATTGATTGTATAATTAATTATCCCGGATAATGCATGCAATAGTCTATAAAGAAAGACAGATCCCCTTTCAACAACTTAATGAATAAATATTTCTCTGTTCGTTTCAGCAAATAATCATCACAATTCAGTGACCCGATATTATTGTACTGTGAAACGGCAGCGCCTCATGGTGTCCCGGATTATTCATCTGGCTGTTTGCAACAATGTCAAAACAGCTCAGTGAAACAGTTTTGGGCCAAGTTGTTCTCCTGGGTGCTGAAAAAGTCTCCCCACAGCAAAACTGCAGCTACATCACAAGAGGGCAGGACAAAGCAGAGAGGAGAAAATCTCACAAACACACAACTTTTTCTGCCGAAGCATTTGAGTGACCTTAAAGTTGCCTCAGTGTGAGACCATGTAGATGTAGCGATCCGAAAAGTATGTGAGATAGAGCTGCATCTGTACATTTATGCTGAAGGGAAAAAGAAAAGATGGTACTTGGCAAAAACTTTGTACAAACAACAAAAGCTGAGTGTATTACAAATTTAGAGCCTGTAAGACTAGGGTTGGGTATAGTTTGGGTTTTATCCAATACCGGTGCTAAATGGATACTTTTAACAGTACCGGTGCCTAAACGCTGCCAGGACAAATACTTCTTTCTTAAAAAAAACACATAATAATGGAAGTTGAAATTCAACATTAAAAGTAGACTTAAGTGCAAAGCTCTTAACACATTACAAACTCAAGAACTAAATACACGTTTTGTTGCATCATGTGCTGCCACAGCCATGAAAAACGTGTGTTGCCACCAGGGTTAAGTGTAATGTTAACTATATGTCAATGTTGCCTGTAAGCAGGGCAAATATTTCAGTACATAGCTCAGGCACCGGAATGAGGCACCGGAATCTGTGGTGTGATTTGGTCTGGTAGGTCCCCCACATGTAGGAACTGGCACCTGATTGGCTCTGGATTTCGGTGCCCAGCCATATGCAAGACTTGGGTTTACTGTACATGCAGTCATGTGGATTTGTCAGCTGTCTCCGGTTGGGAGCCACTCTATTCCATCTCCTCTGGCTTTCTATGACGGAGCTATCTGATATCCACTGACACCTCACCCCCACTGAACATGTGTGGGAACATTTGATAAGTGAAAATTTAAAACTTGCAATATCATAAAAAAATAATGTGAATTCTCACAAGATTGCAGAAGCAAGATGTCACCCCCAGATGGAACCTGTGCCCCAAATATCCTCAACTCAGACTTTCAATGAATAATTTCCTCGTATCTAAAACAATACATATATTGGATCTAATGCATGTGTGGGTAAAGTCTTTTTGGGTAAAAAAGATCTCTCAGTGAAAACAATGAAAATGAACAACTTCAAATGTGTCGAAACAGATTTAGAATCCAGTTGGTGTCTCAGGAAACGAGGGGTTTGACAGTGACGCTGTGGATTTTGTGGGAAGGTATTTAAGCCCTTGACCGCACTTCATCTGGCATTTGAAAATCAAAATCAACTCCAAAAGGAAGTTGTTTAAATCCACATTGACTTTATATCCACACTGTGTGCTGTTTTGTTTTGCTACAACAGATTGAGAGACCAAATGTTAAACCAATATGACGATCATAGGAAATCATCATTTCACTCACCGAGACCATTACAGTCATGATTCGCCTCCTGTGGACTGCGGCTCTTCATAATTCGACTTCCTGTTCTTGTTCTTCCATGTCTTGTCACTTCCCTTCTTGTTATGTAATTTCCTGCTTCCCTGTCACATGACTCATACTCACCTGTCACCTGATCAGACCAGCCCCTGTGTTTCCCTCCAAGAAACCCCATATATACCATGCTTTGAATTCTCTTTGTTGCCAGATCGTCTTCGAGTTTAGTGTCTTGTATAATATACTTATAATCTTTTTTCCTGTTCCCCCTGGTTTTTGGACTTTGCCTGCATCAACTCAACAAGAGCTACTTCCCTGTTGTTTCATTAAAGCACCATTTTGGTTTTCTGTACTTCTGGGTTCTTCTGATATGTCTTTAAACAGAAAGGGACACAGTCATTGCATTTTTCTGTTAAAAACAAATTCAACCTGACAATTGAATAAAATATGATTAAATACTTCATCATAAATACTTTGAATGTGATTTATCTAGAAGAAATGTATCTGACTTTTTAGAGTATATCGTTATTAGAGGAAATATGACTCAACAGATCCAAAATGGTTCTTTAATTGTTTTCAATGTAATTATTTTTGGGAAAATAAATAAACATCCCCAAAATCCAACTATTGTAATCAAATATATTGTAAAGTCACATTAAATTTGCAGTTGCATAAACTCACTGTGGAACGAGGAATTAATTTATCTTATGGATGATTTCAGTATTTTGGATGTGCTTCCCAAAATAAAAAGCGAAGCCCCCCCCTGCCAAAAATAAATGGCTTCTCCCTCGTATCTCTTATCTTATCTGGAGCTGGAAGGGATCCATAAAGGCGGCTAACAGTGATAACTTTCCCAATTGCATTTTAAAGATATAATTAGGAAGATAATGCATTTCCTCAAACCCTGTATTACATAATTGTGTGCATGAAACATTGGCAAGTACTTGCTTCAAGTTTTCTAAAATTATATTTGCAGCTTAATAATATCGTCAAATGCTTTTTAGAAACTGTCATGATACTTTTCATATCACGATTTACCTCTTTAATAAACTGACACTCGAGCATTTAATAAAGAAATAAATCTTGGAGGACGTTCAAATATTTCAGTCCATTCACCATAGACTTTGCAATGATACTTTTGTGTAATGGTGCAAAGGAATATCTGGTGTCAATGGTTAGAGTTGCAATATCACGTTCACTTCACTTTGTAAGGTGATTCATGCTGCCAAACTAATTTGGGAAATTGGAAATCCAATATTTGGGGGAAACATTATATGAAGGTAAAATGAAATTAAGTGTTTCTAAGCCAGAGGGGATGTAAAAATGGCTAAAATTGGACAATGGATGAATAATTCCTTACAAAAATAAGTCACAGTATCATTTTCAACCACAGCATCCGTCTTCGTCTTATTGTGTTGCATCACCACATATTTCACGCTGTCGTTGCATATCTCGCCTTGCATGCATTCTTTTAACCTCTGTCTCCTCTTCTCCACCTTTGAGTTATCACCATATTATCTTTAACCTTGAAGCCATTTTGTTTCAAGTCGTGGGTCAGTACGCTCTTATCTCAATCTTGGGGTTGCCCATTAAAGAGCGCGGTTATATGAACCAATAAATGGGCACACCGGCACTAGTGATAAAGAAAGAAGAGGAGGCCCATTCTCTCTTTAGCCATCCATTCTGTGTGGTCTCAAGAGTCATCATACACTTGAGGAGGGGGGTTGAACTCTTCTTCTCCTAGGCGATGTGAAGTTGAGTGGAAAGAGTTTCTCAATAGAAATGGTTATAACTGTTGACATTTATCAAGCTTGTTCTTTTTCTTTTATCGGCCTGCTGGTTTTGTGAGGCTAACAAATGCGCTTTACTGCTGTGATCGAGTCTTTCAAGTGCTACATCACCACCTGACATGAATGAAATACAACTGACTGAGCTGATAACCACTGAAATGTATTGAGGAGTCATTTTGGACAATTGTGATAAGTCTGCAGTCTGCCTTCGGATATTGGACCATACACTCCCCGCTCTTGGAATTACTAAATGAACTAAATATGTTACTATATTAAGTATTACGCTTAATTTTAAAAAGCATTTAAAGGAACAATATTTACACTTAGCACTAGAACTGACATCATTTGCTGAAGCACTTACCTGCTGCTTTTCTCTGAACTCAGAATTTTCGTGGATATGCAACATACGACAGATTTCCCAACAAAAAGAAAACCAGTGAGTGTGAAACTGAAAAAGACATCAAAAATGGTTTGACATAGATGCATAGATTCGCCTGCAGTCACTGTGAAGGATACTGGAGATTTAACTTTATTGACAAATCCCAACGTCTCTACGTGCCCAAGGCTGTTAGGATGGAGGCTGCACAACCAAGGCTGTGTAGCAAATGCAAGAGGAAGCCATTGCTCTCGAGAAGAAAAAAAAAAATGAAAGGGTGATGGACAGTTTTGCATTTCGCTAAAGCTGTGAGCGACACGTTTCAGCACATCTGTCACTTTCGCTTCCTCGTGTGTTTTCAAATCGGTTTTCCACTGCGAGAGCGGCGCTGCGGTTTCACTGCGAATGCTGAGAGGTCTAGAGCTTTTGAGTCGAGAGAAAAAATTGAAAGAAAAATCATGGCAGAGCGGGAGCACAAACTTTATTTATTAAATTCCCAACAAAAAAATCCATTGTTGTAAAGCTCGTTGTCCTGCATGCAGGGCAGGAGAGGACAAAAATACACATCTCCAAATGGGAATACTGAAGCTATGAGTGACAAATGCAAAATAATGGTGAATGCTTGGCATAGTCACACAAGAGGTTAATATCAGTCACAGGTTATATTCAATTGAAGAGGGTTGCAAGAGCCTGAAATGTGTCTAAAAACTTAGATCAAAAACAGTTTTGTTGCTGATTTCTTTATTTTTCTTCTTTTACACCGATGAGCCAAAGATTCAGCTTGTAGGAAGGACTGCATGTTGGCTCCAAAGACTTGTTTGCCCTGCTATTCTCCTGTGAATACACAACCTCTGACTGGATCAGAGACCTTTTCAGCGCAGTAGTCGGATGCATTCAGGGCTGAGGAGGAAGAAGCGGTTTACTGAAATGACTCGCAGTCACTGGAGCCTGAGGCTAGAGTTTCATATGCACAGCTCTGGCAGTGCCCTGGGTTGCATTTGAAGACTACACTGTCTGTCAACACTACTACCTTTTGCCAAATCACACTTGAAACTTTTTTTTGTAGTTGGAGTAGTTCTGCTGCCAACATAAAAAGTACAGATCATACTTTGACATTGACATTTCTTACTTAAACCACCAACAAGCTTCAGCCGAGTAGAAATATGATTAATTTAATTCCTCTGCTTATTCAAATATATATTTTAAACTTTAAGCCATGACATCTATAAAAATGTTTTCAGAGTAGCTGGGTTTTACCACACACTTTTCTTTAACTTCATGTCTACAATTCACACACAGCAACTATAAGCTACAAGCAACTATACTTCCACCAAGGGAAGTTATGTTTGTTTGTTAGTTATTTAGTAGTTTGTAAAAGGATGTGGTATGCGTCAGTTAAGAACCCATTACATTTTGGTGTGAATTTGGATCAGTGGGGCAGTTCCAGGGATTATTTTTTTTTAAATGTAATATTGCAAGACTGTGTGTTTTTTAACGTTGTCATTGATTCTCAGAGAATATGAATGTGTGAAAATTCCAGACATACTAGTGTGTGCAATCAAGTGTGGATCAGAACTCAAATCTGGATCTAGTGGCTGTAAATGGGGTTTTTATATTAGTGCATGGTAACAAACAGCTGGAAACCATCAATGTGTAGCTTAGAAATGTAACAGGGGCCTCAGCTTTAAGGCTTGTTTTAATCTAAGTTTTATTTTTATTTATTTATTATTTTCTGCAAATATCACAAGGGACGAAAGATGTGCATGCATGAGAGAATGAATGAAGAAGGATAGTCTCTAAATGTCTTTTGTTTTTATTCAATGAAACTTTTCTCTCACCCTTTCAACCTTTAAAAATAAAACACTCAAACAGCCTTTTAAAGTTGTTAGGTAGTGAGCACCTGCTGCAATGTCCTCATTTAACCAGAATGTCCACCCAAGATATAAACCCCTCTTGCTACACAAGTTCACGTAGATATACACAAATTATATGTGAATACTGCATATTATTTATTAGATCCCCTTACACATGGACTGATTTTGAATATCAATACTTAAAGACCTAAGCTCTGTATGAGCTGATTAATTCTGGCAGGGTTCCAGTGAGCCGTCTGATAATAATGTACCAGGACGTATTACTTACAGATAGGTGAGCACAAATGGTTTTTTTAAAGCCACAGAGGTAATGATTTTTGCCTGAGCTGCAGCAATAGCCACAAAATATTTATGTTCAGAAGACCGCCTTAATGCCACACTAAGTTGCAATAGAGATTTAAAAATGGCAAATCAAGGGCTTAATGTGGGCCCATTATTCTTGCGCAGTAGTGTAAGTCAAGTGTGTGTAAGTAACTTCGCTATCCCCTGAGGGGGAGAGAGCGTGGCAGCGTCAGAGAACGGGTCCTCGTCCCCCCTCAGTGCTTCTACTCTAACCAGGCATGAGACATCGGCCCTGACTGCTACCCACCCGTAGTCACGGTCACCACAAGTTAAGTGACCAATTCCAACGCGTCGCTCCGGGCCCCATAACCATTCGCAGCACTGGAAACCTGAACATATGTGACGTGCTCTTCAATGACTTCCAAGCATATGGTTTGCCATTTGAACGGTAATCTTCGAAGGAAAGATTGTGCGAGCTGGTGGAAGTGAATTGGTGTTTGCTTTTTATGCATCTGTGCCTGCTTGTCGGAATGAAAGATGCAGAAATATGTCGCGGAGAGACTGAGCAGCTCAAGCCTTTATAGTGTGTCAATAAACAAACATATGACATGCAAATAGGAGCGATTGTCTGGTGCTGTGCAAATATTTGGCCCTGCTGCCGCTCTAAGAGTTTGCTTTCTGCCCCACTTACTGAAAGGTCAGCGGTTCAGTATAAATACGATCTCTGTATTTCCTGTGGAAATTCAAACCTCACCTGCAGCACATTAACCTACGATGAGGGTCATGTTTGTGGTTTTGAGGTCTCTCTTCTTATGGAATAAAGTTTTTTTTATTCACAGCAGTGCTTTAAAATCTGCATCCATTATCTACCTCTACCTCGCCAAATGAGTTTGGATTTCAGGGTCACTTTAGTGGACGTTTGAATGTCTCAAGTTCGACACCACCAACAACCAGAACAATGGCTCGTCAGGTGTGTTTGGCTTGAGTCTATTTGACAGTGATGTCTGTAAAATACTAAATTATTGAGATCACATTTGATTTTATCTCAGGCCTTTTCAAAACAAGACAAAAAACAAAGATATAATTTAACATACCTCCAGGCAAGGTCGGTAGACGGGGTCTGTAATTTAATTTGAGCAATGCTCAGGAATTATTTTTATTCAATCATCCTAATTATAATAAGATCTGTGGAACTGTGTTAATCCAGGTGAATGCAAAACAATTTCATTTTACTGATAAAAGCTAAAATCCTCCTCAAGTTGCTCCACTTGCTTAAATACCAGCGGCAGCCGCTCCTGTTATTTTCTATTGTGTTTATTTCCAAAGGATAAAATTCATTTGGTATTGAGGCAAAATTTTTGTCCTTGGGGAATTCATACCACACCAAGAGGAGTAAATCTGGAGACATTTCTGGGGATGGTTCCAACTGCAGATAAAACAACAAATATGGACACTGGTCCTGGAAAACTGGGGCATCTGGTTTCTCCAGCTAAAACTTCGTTTTCAGACTTCTGACTTATCTCAGCGTGGTATGAGCTCCGCTGGCTGCCGCGATAAGCCTGAATCGAGCAGCTCTCACAAATAAAAACATCAACAGGACACTCATATTATTCATTCAGTGCTCCTTAAGTAAATATAATTTCTTCGCTTTAGACCATGAATACTTCACTCACCATTTTGCTTTAAAGCTTAAGTACATCAAGTACTTTCCCCCCAAAAAAACTTCCAAGTCACTAGAAGTGGAAGTATAATCTTTAACCATATTTCTCTTTCCTTGTCCTTCCTGCAGGGGAGGAGGCGCTGACTATGTACCTGGCCAAAAACAAGCTGGACAGGAAGCTTGTCAACACCACTCAGAACGTGGAGGCCCTCCATCAGCTCGCCTCCTCATACTTCATTGACCGCGACGGCACGATGAGGAAGCTGCACGAGATCCAGATTTCCACCAATGCCATCAAGGTTGGTGCATACTCAACCAACGTGTATTTGTTTTCTTTTGCAATGTCACACACGTGATACCTGGTCTGCCTCTTTTGTGGTAGAGTAACACATAACCAAAACGAGAGGGGGGAACAATCATCCTTTCTCTTATGGAGAGGGAAAGATTGCTCACACATTAACAGGTTCTAACCTGTGATCTCAGTTGTCAAGTTCATACTCTTTAGCTGCTTTCAGACATGCACTGAACTCTGGATGATCTCCCGACCTTCTTCAGAGGGGCTGAGTTCTTCCTGCCAGTCCTCCAGTAACAACTGTGGATAATGTCCGAATGAGCCCATATGAGAACGCAGCAGGAGATCCTCCAGAGGATCCACCTTTACTGCGTTCATGACGTTTTTAAAATGCTACAGACACAAAAATTAAAAATAATATAAACATCTATGACAGGGGCTGACGCTGGTGTGGATGTGCTGTAAACAAATACATGTGATCTCCACAGTGGGATTTATACGTTATGTCCTGCCTCCTGTCAGATACACCAGCCCTCTTCCAAACACTGCACAGATTTGTGTTGTTGTGAACACATCCGAGTGGAGAATCTCTTGTGTTCATTTGTGAAAGGCAACCTCTGGAGAAGGTCCGGACCTTCTCTGGAGTTCATGCCTAAAAACGTTTTCTTGCATATACCTAACCTATAGGTGAGAAATGTTGTGAATACTCCCACCTACCCCCACCTTCACTAATGACACAGAACAGTTAATAGAAAGAGGGTTTAGTGTTAGGAAAATATAAACTCAGCCTACACACACAAACAATGTGTTCTGACATCAAGTCAACAATGTATTTTCACTCTCTCTTGTAACAGATGGTGTACACTACAAATAAATACAGTAAAAAAACAGAAATGCAAAGATGGTGCATCTTACTGAATTTTCCATAAACATTAGTTTAAACAAAAAATTTTTTTTTACAAAGAACTCACATGGGAGAGTAGGTGTGATACATATCCACGCATGCAGATGTGGACGATGATAAAAACATACATCACATAACTGATTATAAAATAACTTCCTGTACTCATATTCATTGTGGGTCAGGGTCATATGAGATCCGGTTTAAAGAAAAAGCCACCAGGAAGTGCTGAAAATAAGAAGCTGGAACACAGAGATTGATTTAGGCATTTGAGCAAATGACCCATTGTGTTTTCTCTACTGAAGAGAGTCTTTCTGTTGTGTTATCAGACAGATTAAAAAAAGGAACAAAAAAACCATTGTGATTTGTAAACAGTGCGAGCCTTCTGCCTGCAACTGACTTCTGGCCAATCGTGGTCATTCACATGCTCATTCACGCAGGGACCCTCAGGAGAGAGGGGGCCGGGGAAAAGCAATTGCAGAATATAAATAACTTTAAAACCCAAATAGGCCTGAGTTTTGGAAAATCCCTCCCTCGTGACATTGTTCATACAACAGGGTCATTGTTGGTAAAATGCATGGATAATAAATTCTTCGAACTGCAGGAAAGAAGTGATGGAAAAATAAAAACTGCTGAATATTCACTGACATTATAAGGTCATACATTTTAAAGAAATGTGTCTGTTTGTTTTAGTTGTTTTTGTGTTTTTTCTCCGAGGAACCACATTGCTTTACTTTGCACGCTCGCATGAACGTGATGGCACCACAGATGCCACCGCTTGCCGAGTATTATCATCTTGCGAGGTGAATCACGCCTGATATGTAACCGGTGATAGCCTTGCATCTGTCCACTGCTCTCACCTCATCCAAATCAGTATGTTGTTTTCTCCTCAGTACGCCCACAGCCATGTAATGAATGTAAGTACTCATCCTCATGTGGGAGGAGGGAGGCAGCATGAGCTCGGATTAAAGGCTCCATTTAAAAGTTATTTTTGTGTGTTTCAACTGACTGTTTTTCAGCCTAAAAGAACATTTGAGGTCCACTAACAAATCAAAAAAACTGACTTTAACTGTTACTTTTATTTATTTATATGATAATAATAATGATCATCTATTGCACTTTATATTTATTGAAATATTTTTGCTCTTACAATATTGTTATTGCCTATTGTAGTTATATGATAATGACAAAATAAACAGAGTTATGATTTTTCATGGTAATAATATTAGTATTGATGAATTGAGCAACCATGGAAGGCTGTGGCCCTGTCGTTGGAGCAGTTTGTCCACTAACCAGAAGGTCGGTGGTTTGATCCCCCTGCGCCACCAGTCCACATGTCCTTGGGCAAGACACTCAACCCATAAATTGTCCCTGACGGCTGCTCGAGCAGAGTGAGAATGATGTGGTAGAAAAGCACGACATACATAGAAAGTGCTGTATTAATGTGTGTGTGTGAATGGGTGAATGTGACTTGCAGTGTAAAAGCACTTTGAGTGGTCGTTAAGACTTGGAAAGTGCTATAAAATACAGTCCATTTACCATTTAACAACAGGGCTTCATGTTTCACTTCCTTCAGAGAAATGTTGGTCTGTTTACTATATTTTGAAAACTAGAGTTGTGCTTAATGTTATGTTTTCATCTGTGTTTGTTTGTAATTTAGCAGAATGACAAAGTTTGGTTCAGGATCAGGGCGTGGATCCAGGAATTTCTTTAGAAATGCGAGGAATTTTCAACATTTACATTTTTTCTCATAGTATAATTCATGGAAAATATGGCATGTTTAGAGGACTGAAATTTATAGTTTAGTGAAATTTGGTGTAGATCCAAATAAAAATTTGATCAGATCGAGTGAATTTCAATATGGTTTCCTAAGGGGACTGTTGGAAGTGGAAGTATGCAGTCACCAATTCCCCTTATCAAATAACATGGATGTATCGCATGAATAAAATTAGGTTTCCTTCACATTTTCCTTTAAATCTGCCATGAATCTTATCAGATGTGTATCAAAATGAAAGAATGGCTGCATAACAACAAAACCAAAGTATTAACACGGAGCACGGCCGCACACACCAGCATTATGATTCCATGTGTGTACCTGTACGACAAATAAACAATACTGCTGGACTTGTGGCCCCAGGGCAGCAATTCTTGTCTGCAGTGACCTTGCTCATATGCAACCAGTTTGCAAGTTAATGCATGCACGACAAAAAAATATAAAGCCAGAGTAAATGTGAGCGTGCAGCGCTGCTTCTGGGATGTTTTGTTATGTGAGGATGTCAACTTGATTAACATGTTTGCAGTTCAGCAGCACGGACTGCTCAACTCCATTATTATCATAGTATAGTTGTTGGGAGACAGTGAACCCTGAAACACTCAGTGTTGATTATGGACTCTGCAATGCATCAGTGTAATTTGAGTATTATTCCATCACACCACTCAGTAATGTATAGAAATTGCAAATACAGAACAAGAAACATATTCACTAAAAGTATATCTAAAGCCGCATCCTGACACAAACATAATACACATAATGGGAATGATGCTTTTTCTTTTCAACATTTGGACACATCACTACAGGCAAACTACCTGTGGATGAAAGAGTTGTAAAAGCTACTTCTGCACGTCCACTGTACCGCTCCTTGAAAAAGCACGGAGAGATTGAAATGGGAAATGAGACTGAATGTTGTACAGGAAATTGACAATGTGCTGTTTGTTCTTTTTGAAGCAGATAAGGTGGGAGAAAACACAGACAAAGGAAACCATTGATGCCTCTGTACCAAAGTATTGTGTTTATTTTTGAGATAAACTCTGAAAAATACGTTCAACAAAGCCGCAGGTAGAATCGTGTTACTTGCTACCTACCTCAGATTTTTACCAACACTGAATGAGGTGGTGGGTGTTAATTTCAAGCCCTGGTGATCATAATTATTTAGACTTCTCTGGTTTTCCATGGGTCTGCAAACACACAATTCATTTCTGATTGCAGATGTGAAAATAGACTGAGCCAGAGAAAAAAAATGGAACGTCTCATGATGGTAAAGACTTTCATTCTGCAACAGTCCATCAGCTCTTGTAAATGAAAGGGCAATGATTTTCATTTAAATACATATCTGTATCAATCTCTGAGTGAGGTGATAACAGCAATATTTGTAGTATTATGAACTTTGTGTCTGAGGTAACATTCCCAGAAATAATACAAAAAGAATCCTACTGTTGCACTTTCAAATTAAAAGCATTTAACTAGCAAAACATGAGTTAAAGTTTACTACGAGGCAGTAAAGGCAACATGATTATCAGTGAGCTTACACTTACTGTTTTTCATCAAACACACAAGACGACAGCCATTTTCTGCAGTTTCTGACAGAGGATCAGTTTGAAATATTGCAGGGAGTAATGAAAGGAGAAGAAGCAGCCGCAGTGAGCTGTTAGATGAAGAACTGCAGGTGTCGGGCTGCACACCTCCAACTTCTCAGCAAGACGACCAACTTCTCTCACAGTGCCCTGCTGTTTGCAGACTGATGCCGTGTTGAGCATAAAATCAGATCACTGCTGCTCACAGAATGATGGGGAGAGGCCAACTACTGCCAGACTTCTTTATTAAGATGGCTATAGTTTGTTTTGCTGCTTCCAGAATTCTCTGACCTGTAGCACCGACAGTAGCTGTATTATTTACTGTTAGCACCATTATGGTGTGTGCAATTCAACCAGGACTGAAAATGAGTGAAGTCCTGGCTAAAGGGCAGAGTTGGGGGTTAGATACGCTAACCCTAGTGGAAATGTTTTTCTAAACCTGACCAAATGGTTTTGTTGCCTAAAACTAACCAAGATGGTTTGTAACCTAAATCCAACAAAGCTGCAAATTCAATTTGAAAATAACCTAAATCATTATTTCGAACATTATGCTTTTTGTTTAACACATGGTGTGGAACCCTATCTCTTGAGTGAAAGTCTTGTACACATTTGCACACTTGTCTAAGCCTCCCTCTTAGAGAGTGGTGTTTGTTTATCACCTAATGGTGGCACCCAGCTTCCCAACCATTGTAAGACGCATCCTTTTTTGCACTGCACTTAAATTGAATAAAAATAAAGCCCATTACTTTTTTATT